CCATTGCGCCGCTCATGCAGGCCTGCAGAGCCTCCCGCCCCAGCGCATGGCTCGGTGATCGTGAGTATGTGCCCGAGCAGCTGCCCTCTCGCTCAGCAGGCGCCGGAAGTGGTGCACTGCAGCATACCGACAGTGACCCCAGCCTGCGCGAAGGGGACATCATCTCTACTTGCATTCATTCATTCATTCATTCAGCACACAGCCCGGCCGCCTCTTGCTCGAGGGCGGCCCACTTTGGCCTGGGCCGCCCGGGCCGCCCTCCCCCCCGGGCGCATGTTCGGTGTTGGAGGGGTGTGCCCAGCGATAGGGGGCCCCTGAAGGCATGCGCCGAGGCCGGGAAGCGTGGTTCGGCGCTGCTGCACGCTTGGCGATTTGACCAGAACCACGTGCCGCCGAGCTGCGGCCGCAGTTTCCGGCCCACGGTCTACGGTCGCAGCCACGGGACTCGGCGGCACGGCGTTTGGGCCCAAGCTTGCTGCCGCCGCCGCCGTGCCCGGGGGGCAGCGCGGCGGCGGCGGCGGCACGCTGCGACGCCCCCGTGCTGCCGAGCTGCGGCCGTAGTTTCCTGCCAGAAGCCCACGGCCACAGCCACGGGACTCGGCGGCACGGAGTTTCGGTCCACGGCTTGCTGCCGCCGCCGTCGCAGGGGTGCTGCCTGCGGCGGCGGCGGCACGGCGTTTGGGTCCACGGCTTGCTGCCGCTGCCGCCGCCGCAGGGGTGCTGCCTGCGGCGGCGGCGGTAGCGCACGTGGCAACCCCCCGCGTTTCCTTGCCTCCCATCCACCGGACCCCGTCCTGCGCTTCACTTTGTTTAGGGAGGGGCTGCTCACTGCTCATTGCTCATTGCTCATCGCACACTGCTCAACGCTCATTGCCCTATATCCCACCCAGCCGCAGGACTCCACTGCCGCCCGCGCCCCGCCCCATCTGGCCGCTTGCGCGCCCCATCCCCCCTCGATGGGGCCCGCCCACACCGGGGCCTCCCCCCTCCCGCCCACTGCTTTCTCAACGGCCCCGAGCCGGGGCTGCCCTCATTGCATACATAGTGCGCCTTTCCCTGCTTTTCTAGTGACCTAGCGTTCCGCACTGCCGTTTGGCCAGCCCATGCTCCCGTACCGTTGCGTTTCTCCCCAATGCGCCATGCCACTTTGCCAGTCATACACACGTTTCGATGCGTGCCCTGTCAGCTGCTTGCGTTGCATGTCGCCTTGCTCCACCCCTGTTTTATTGCTTTCTCTGCTTTCGCCCGGTTCCCGTCCCGTTTCGGCGGGGAGTCTATGTTGCAAGCTAGTTCTTGCTTTACCAGACTTTAAGCCCACACAAGCAAGCAAAAGCAAGCAAGCAAGGGCCGCCGCCGTGTGCCTGCTTGCCAGGGCGCCCGCGCCAGTGGAGCGGTCACTCTCCCTGAGCAGCTGCAGGCGAGCTGCAGGCGCGATGTAGGCCAGCCTCCCAGCACGTCTTGGGTGAGGGTGGCGATAGACGACCGCGGCAACTCCCAGCTGTTACCGCTGCGGGATGAGAAGCAGCGGACAGGCGCCCACAGAGTGTGGCAGTAGCGGCGGCGCCGTGGTCGAGATGGATGCATCATACCGGAGGTCAGTAAGGCCTTATCTTAAACGTGTACATGTGCCACCTGGACGGCTAAGGGATCCAAAGTAATTAGTAAGGGAGTGGGAGGTAGGGCGCGGGGCGGACCGGGGCGCGCCACAATGCAGGCGGCGCCGGTGGCCCACCGAGAGCATGGGTTGGGTTGGTTCAAAATGGAGGGGGTATGTGTGACGGGGAAGCAATGAAAACAATAAAGATGAAAGTGACGTACATACACAGTACATAGATTGCGTGGAACAGAATGCACGCTGCATAGGGGGGCCGCAGCACATAAATAGAACGCACACACTGCTCATGTGTATTCTTTTGTTGGGACACTGCTGCCTCTGCCGCTGCGGCCGAGGGGCCATCCACCCGCACTGCTGCCATGCCACTGGCCGGCTGGCAGCGGCGGCCTCAGCGGCCAGCTGCCCTAAGTTTCTTTGCCCTGGCCAGGCGCTGGGCGTAGTACAGGTTGGGCTGGGCGGTACGTGGCAGCCCCGCAATGTACCACTTGACGGCGGGGCACCGCGGGCCGCCGAAGGGGCCCACGAAATTGAGCAGCGCGCCAAAGGCGCACTCTGGCAGCGGCACCCTTGTCTTGTTGTCAAGGCCGGGGTCGCGGCGAAGGTTGTAGTAGGTGTTGAGGATGCCTGCGGTGCATCAGGCCAAAAGCAGTGCATATGCTTTTTGCTGGGGGGGCGCACTGTCAAACAGCAAAATTGCGCATGCACAAGCGTAGCTGTGCTGGATTGCGCTGCACCGAGCTGCTGGTGCTCGCCGCTCCCTCTCTGCTGCCGCCCCACAGCACATCCCGCCTGCGCACCCGAGTAGGCGCCTCGCGTCTTCTTGCCGCCGCTGGCAAAGGGGCGGGTGCCGCACCCCAAGTGCAGGTTGGTGAACAAGTTGCCCCAGGGGGCGGTGCGGTGGTGGTCCAGATTCAGGTCCACGCCTGCATGAGTGGAGGCGGCGGCAGGGGGTGTAATGTGCAATGTGCTGCATTTCTGCCACACAGCGGCGGCCACTGCGTGTGGGGTGGCACGCCACACCATACCACACCACACCACACCAGCCTGGTCCCCTCACCCTTGCCGTCCATGATGACATTCAGGGAGCTGCCGCTGGTGACGGTTACATCGTGAATGTAGGTGTTGCGCAGCTCGAACCTGCGGGGTGGGATACCCAGGGCGGGAAAGCGGCAGGCAGGTGTGGGGCACTGTCTGTGAATGAGGCCAGCTGGCAACCTGCGTGAATCGCCCAGCGAGTCAGTACGGCTCATGGCGTGAGCAAGGCACTGGGTTCGCTCGACGGCTGCTGCCTCAGGCTGCCCCACACCAGCCGGCAGCTCGCCTGCGCAGCATGACTCCCCGGCTCTCGGTGATGCTGAGCGGGTGGTGGCCCTGGCGGGCGTTAGGGTACTGGGGGTTGGTGCGTGCCGCCGTCACGCCGCACCTCACGTCGCTCATTGTGGATTGGTCGGCCCAGGCGAAAAAGATGCCGTTGTCGGCATTCAGGATGGTAACCTTGCTTGTGCTTGTGTGGGCTTAAAGTCTGGTAAAGCAAGAACTAGCTTGCAACATAGACTCCCCGCCGAAACGGGACGGGAACCGGGCGAAAGCAGAGAAAGCAATAAAACAGGGGTGGAGCAAGGCGACATGCAACGCAAGCAGCTGACAGGGCACGCATCGAAACGTGTGTATGACTGGCAAAGTGGCATGGCGCATTGGGGAGAAACGCAACGGTACGGGAGCATGGGCTGGCCAAACGGCAGTGCGGAACGCTAGGTCACTAGAAAAGCAGGGAAAGGCGCACTATGTATGCAATGAGGGCAGCCCCGGCTCGGGGCCGTTGAGAAAGCAGTGGGCGGGAGGGGGGAGGCCCCGGTGTGGGCGGGCCCCATCGAGGGGGGATGGGGCGCGCAAGCGGCCAGATGGGGCGGGGCGCGGGCGGCAGTGGAGTCCTGCGGCTGGGTGGGATATAGGGCAATGAGCGTTGAGCAGTGTGCGATGAGCAATGAGCAATGAGCAGTGAGCAGCCCCTCCCTAAACAAAGTGAAGCGCAGGACGGGGTCCGGTGGATGGGAGGCAAGGAAACGCGGGGGGTTGCCACGTGCGCTACCGCCGCCGCCGCAGGCAGCACCCCTGCGGCGGCGGCAGCGGCAGCAAGCCGTGGACCCAAACGCCGTGCCGCCGCCGCCGCAGGCAGCACCCCTGCGACGGCGGCGGCAGCAAGCCGTGGACCGAAACTCCGTGCCGCCGAGTCCCGTGGCTGTGGCCGTGGGCTTCTGGCAGGAAACTACGGCCGCAGCTCGGCAGCACGGGGGCGTCGCAGCGTGCCGCCGCCGCCGCGCTGCCCCCCGGGCACGGCGGCGGCGGCAGCAAGCTTGGGCCCAAACGCCGTGCCGCCGAGTCCCGTGGCTGCGACCGTAGACCGTGGGCCGGAAACTGCGGCCGCAGCTCGGCGGCACGTGGTTCTGGTCAAATCGCCAAGCGTGCAGCAGCGCCGAACCACGCTTCCCGGCCTCGGCGCATGCCTTCAGGGGCCCCCTATCGCTGGGCACACCCCTCCAACACCGAACATGCGCCCGGGGGGGAGGGCGGCCCGGGCGGCCCAGGCCAAAGTGGGCCGCCCTCGAGCAAGAGGCGGCCGGGCTGTGTGCTGAATGAATGAATGAATGAATGCACTCTGGCACAGCAGGCTCAACACCGTTTCTTTCAAACGTTTCCATTGAAAAAACCTGCAGGCGGTGTGGTGCCGGAATGTGTATGCTTGATGGAGGAGGTGGTGGTGGCAGTTGGGAGAGGCATGCATCCACTGCGGCAGCCCAGGGGAGGCGCTACTGCCGTCCATGCCAGGGCGGGGTAGCACGCCGAGAGCTGCCCCTCCTCGGCATTGCCTCCTCCCTTCCAGCGGCTACGGCTGCCGCTGCATTGCAGCTCGCTGGCGCAGCTGTGGCCAGCGACAGCTGGGGCAGCCAGCAGCTCACGTTGCGGACCCAGCAGTTTGCCACGTGGCTGAACTGCAGCGCGTTGAAGCCGCGGTCGGCGTGGTGCTGCTGGTTGATGGAATGCCTGCGGGCAGCGGCAGAGCAGCAGCAGAGGCGGCCAGCCGCGGACTGTGGCACGCCGGCAGGGGTTGCGGCCCAAAGGCGCGGCAGAGCGGTGCCGAGCTCTGCTTGCGAATGCATCCTATGCGCTGCGGCAGGCGGCACCCACTTGAATCGTATGGTCAGCTTCTCCACGCCGACATCCTGTACCGTCGGTTGATCCAGGTGGATGGAAGCTTCCCATTGCGGGGCAACTGCACCCAAACAATCCACGCACCACACGCAGCGGCAGGTGAGTGGCGGCTACCTGGCACCATGCAAAGCGGGGCAAGCTTGCTGCCTGCTCCCACACGCATCAAGGAGCAGACGGCAGGACCCACCTGAGAAGCAGAGCGGCCTGTCCAGTGTGATGCTGCGGTTGCCAACAGCCGCCACCCTGGCGGCAGCAAGAGGTGCGCAGCGGGCAGCAATGAGGTGCTGGGCGGGTGGCCGCCAGTGCAAGCAGCAGCAGGGGTAGCGGCACTGGTGAGGACAAGAGGCAGCAGCACGATTCAGGGATGCTGCCAGCCGCTGCTCCAGCCAACTCACACGGCCAGGCACTGGATTTCGTCCTTATCTATCACCTCTGTCTCTGGGCCGCTGTCGACTAGGTTGCCGCCATACCTGCAAAGTAAGGCGCACGGTAACTTGCCTGATCTGCAGCCACCACCACCGGCAGCAGCGGACGCAGATGCCTCGAGTCGCAGTGCTGCCGCCTGCAGCGGCAGCCACTCACAGCCAGGCCACCACCGTCCCCGGGGCCGCAGAGATGCCCACTTCTCCGTTCTGCGATGCAAAGTCTCGGTCGGCTGCCAGCGCCTGCGAGCCGGTCAGGCCCTCCCCAAGCTCCCCCAGCGCAGCAGCCCCCTCCATCGCCGCCCTGTACACAGGGCTGTTGCGGACTGCGGGGGGCGCCACGCGATGCACCAGCCGCATGCTGCTGGCGGCCGAGGCGGCTGCCCCCGCAGTAGACGGTGCGGCCTGCAGCCGGCGCTTTGCTGCTGACGGGGTTAACACAGGGGGCAAAGGGGTGATCGAGTGAGCGAGCAGGTCACCGCTCCACATGCCACACCATCCGCCACCACACATGCATGCGCAAGGAACACTTCCAGCCACCGCCACACATACGAGCAAGAAATAAACTCACACGCTGTGGAATTGTCATTCAGGAAGATGCGGATGCGCTGCCCCGCACGGAACTTGGCTGAGGAGCGGACCTGGCAGGCACAGCAGGCACAGCAGGCGCGGCAGGCACAGCACGTCAGCGGCAGGGCCGACAGGAGCAATCTGTAAGGGAGCAAGCACGTGGGGCAGGTCAGGCAAGCAGGGGGCACAAGGGAGAGCGCAGCATAGGCCTTGCTGTCCAGCCCGGAGGAAGGAGCGGCCAGATAGATCTAGAGCACAGCAGGCACAGCACAGCGTGCACATCATGCGCGCAGCGTGCTCACCGGGATGACCCTGCTGCCGCGCAGCACCACCCCGGGCCCCCGGATGTAGCTCAGCCGGCTGTCGTCATTCCTGCTGCGCTGCTTGCTGCCTTGGACCGTGATGAACCCGCCGCCGGAGTTCCAGGCGGACTGGTAGGAACCTGCGGGGCGAGGTACACAACAGGCGTCGCGGTACACAACAGCGTGGGTGGCGGGTTTTTTTTGCTGTCCCAGGGGAAGCGGCTGACAGGCGGCAGGCTGCGAGGTCCGCAGGCAATGATGGCTGGCCCAGCCGTGCGTCCACCCAAGCACTGCAGTACACTACACGCGCGTTGCAGGCTGGGCCGCCAGAAGCAGCAGCAGGAGGAGGGGGGCCTCACCGTTGGCATACACGGCCCACGTGCCCTGGAAGACGTGGCTGAGCGAACGAGGGATGAAGATTATCGTCTTACCCTCCTGCACCGCACCAGCCGGGGCCGGGGCATGCATGAGGTGGCCGAACCAGCCTGTGGCGGGAGCAGCCGGCAGCAGCGGCAGGAGGGGGATGCCCGGGGACGGCCACCTCCAGAGGCAAGCGCAGCCCGGCGCAGCCGGCTGGCAGCTGGCAGTGCTCACCCCCTCTCCGCGCAGCACCACCCGGCTGCGCGTGATGGTCAGCGGCGTGCGGAGCAGGTAGGTGCCGCGGGGCAGGAAGATGACGCCGCCGTTTGGGTTGGCGTTGGCGGCGGCCACGGCGGCTTGCAGCGCGCGTGTGTCGTCTGCCACGCCGTCCCCCTTGGCGCCAAACTGCTTGAACCGCACGTTGTAGGTGATGGGTGGGTCTGGGATCCGAACGGCTCCTTCTGCAGCAGCCGGGCAGGTAGCAGCAGAAGGCGAGGGGGAGGTCGGTGGTTCCCGGGGTGCTGGCGGCCTGGGGGGGGGTGCTGGCGGCGGCAAGGGCAGAGCAGCGTCCATCCCACCTCGGTACCCCGCCCGTGTCCAGTCCATGCCCCGCAGCTGCGGCAGCATCACTCGGGTGACGTCTATGGGAGCAGCGCTGCTAGCAGCAACGGCAACAGCTTCCTCCTGCGGCCCGTCGAGCGCTGCCAGCCACCATGGCGCCGCCGCCGCCGCCCGGGTGCGGGCACATTGCCCTGCGAGCGTCGCAGTGGGTTTTGGTGCGTGCGTGGGCGTTCCTCTGGAGCTCCCGGAAGGAGGGTTGGCCCAGGCGTCGCGCCTCGCGATCATGGGAGCACTCACATCCTCTCCATGTCGAGTGCCCCACCCCGCCTTGCCCCACCCCTGCTCACCTGCTAGAAGGCTTGCAAACACGATTGCAGCTGCAGTGGTGGCCATGGTGTGGTGCTGTGCCCAGCTGCTGGATGCCCATGTGGATGGCGCTCTTGACCTGCGCCGACTGCTCCGGACTCGCCAGAAAACCCTGAGCCGCTAGAACCAAACGTAAAAATCACCGGCTGGAGCCGGAAAGTGCCGCGGCCCGGCAGCAGCTGCTGACCGCGAAGCTGCGCTTACAGGAAGGGGCTTATGCCTCCGGCCACAATTCAGGTTCAAACAGTTGTTGGGGGCGCCGTTGCAGGGTCCCATCCACCTTCCCCCGGGCCTCCCCCAGCCCCCGCCGGAAGGGCCGCCAAGGAGGGCCCAATGGCCCCTCAATTTCCCCCCCCGTTGTCCAAAAAAGGTAAGCGCCGGCCCGCCCCGCCCTGGCGCCGGGAGCAGGAATCCAGCCAGGGGGCATGGGGGGGCACGGCAGGGGGGCCGGTTGGCCGGCAGCAGCGCACCGGCAGCTTGCCAGCTCCGGCCTTAAACCCTGCTGTGCCAACCCTCCAAGCTGGCAGGCCAGGCATCGCAAGGCAAGGCCAGGCAACAGATGCACACGCCGCCGACAACAGATGCAATACACAATACAGATACAATGCCGCCGCTCAAGGGACACAATACAGATACAATGATGCCGCTCAAGGCCGCCCAAGCTCACCTCCAAATCGAACAGCGGCGCCTCTATGAGCTGCAGCTGCGCCAGCTGCGGGTCGTCCCGCAGGCGCTGCAGCGCGCGCTGCTGGTCGGCACGGCGCGTGGCCAGGTACTGCTCCCGCAGGCCGGGCTGCAGTACCTGGTTGACCACCAGGGTACGGATCGGGACCTGGGCAGGGCAGCAGGGTGGCAGAAGGAGCAGCGGGTGGGGGCGCGGCCGCGGCGGGCGGCTGGTGCTGCTCGCGTGCGGCCGCACTCCGCAACACGTGTGCGCTGTGTGCGGGGAGCCACCCGCCGGCCCCTCGCACCCCAGCACACCAACCGCCCTCGCCGGCTCAGCAGCCGCCAGCCCCAGCCGCGCGCTGCCCGCAGCCCAGCCGGGCACCCGCCTTCGGTGCCCCGCCAAGCAGGTAGGTTCGGTGCCCCCCAGCCCCCACCTGCTCCTTGCGTAACGCCTTGGCCAGGCGTATCGACTCCGCCGCCGCCATCTCGGTGGGGATGGTCACGATGACAAACTCGGTGGTGCTGGGGTTGCGGAAGACGTTGCGCGCCTCAGCCATGTACTCTGCAGGGGGCGGGAGGTGGGGGGGCAGGCAGGGGTGGTGCTGGGGAGGAGCGGGGAGCGTGTGTGGGTACGGGGCAAGGGAAGCAAGGTGGCCAGGCAAGGCAGGGGGTGGAGTGCCGCGGTGGGGCCAGGTCAGGGCAGGTGCAGAGCAGTGGCCCGGAGAGGAAGACGCTCGCTGCTGGCCAGCCCGCCGATCCGGCGTGCGGTGCCGCCCCCAGGCGCCCGCCGTGCCAGGCGAGGTGCGCCTCCAACACCGCAACCTACTGCACCCCTGCACCACACGCACCCTTGAAGGAGTCTAGCTTTTCGGAGGAGGCGTCCTTGCTGCCGCCAAACAGGCCGGTGACCTGCAAGACGGCAGATGATCGAGCTCATCAATAAGGCTGCTTCGGCAGCCACGCCTCGCCAGCAGATGCCTGCCAGCGTCTGCCCGTCCCATCCTTGCGCGAGCACTGGCTGACTGCAAGCCTCCAGAAGCAGCGGCAGCTCTGTGCAATCCAGCTCTTTGCAATCCCGCCAGCACCAGCACAGCTCTGTACAGAAGGGCTCACCGAGTCCTTCAGGTTGGTGAGCTTCTGCCGCAGCGACAGAATCTTGCCCACGCTGCGAGGCAGGCAGACAGGCGTACAGCATTCCAGCATGCTCTTGAAGCGAGGGAGGTGGGGGGGGTGAGGGTGCAAGCCTGGGGACAGGGAATACCCACACACAGGCACCCGCCCAAGCAGCCCCACATGCTCAGACCTCCAGCCACCATCCACCGGCAAACAGCCTCCAGCAACCACATCTGCCCACCTTGTGTCAAGAAAGTCGGGCAGGGCCAGCAGGCGCAGCGTGTGGCCGGTGGGCGCGGTGTCAAACACGATGCGGGAGAAGCGGGCGTAGCGAGGGTCCTGCGGCGGTATGGGCAGCGGTACAGGCAGCAGTACGGCTGAGCCAGGAACCAGGCATGGTCTGGCCGGCCGGCCGCCAGCTGCAGCCCGCTCGCCGATGCTGCGCTTCCAGCGGCACGCCCAGGAGGGGCAGACACAGGACAGCATTGTACGAGGGAGGGGAGCGCCGGATGCTCCCACCTCCCACGTCTGTCACTCCACCACCACACACATCAGGCAGCAAACACCGCCACCACCACACACATCAGCGTGCTGTGGGCTCCACCTTGAGGAACTGGATGACCTTGGCGATGGCAATGGCCTCATCCACACCCGGCGGCGGCGTGTCCAGCAGCTCGCCTGCAAGAGTGTGTGAGTGTGTGTGTGTGGTGGTGGTGTGTGTGTGGCGTGGTGTGGTGTGGTGTGGTGTGGTGTGGTGTGGTGTGGTGTGGTGTGGTGTGGTGTGGTGTGGTGTGGTTGGTGTGTGTGTGTGTGTGTGTGATGGTCGGCACACGTAGAAGGCAGCGCGTGCTGCCCGCCGCCGCGGCGCTGCAGCGCCACAGCGCCGAGGCAGCAACAGCCAAGCGACAGCCCAGCCCATCCACCCATAGGGGGGATGCCACACCACCCTGCCACCACTACCACCACGCTGGCCAGGCCACACCCACCCAGGCGCAGGTCTTTGAGCTGCTCCGCCACCCCCGCCAGCCCGACGCTGCCCAAGATGTCGTCCAGCCGCCGCCCCTCGTCCTGCCCGCTCAGCTCCCGAAGCTCGGCGCGCGCCTGCGGGCAGCGGTGGCGGCGGCAGGGACGGGGGAGGTGGGCGGGCACAGCACACGGCTTCAGGCAGCAGCACACGACGGCAGCAGCACCGCTCTGCTGCCTCTCCCTCCCTCCCCCTCTCTGTCTCCACACCAAGCCGCAGCAGCAGCAGCGCGCCCACGCCCAACGCACCACCACCACCACCACCACCACCACAGCAGCCACAGCCAAGCCACCCATCGCGCACCCGCCCTCTAGGCCACACCCCCACACCCCTCCAGCTGCCCCCACCTGCTCCAAGTCTATCTCCATGCCATACACCTGCCCCTCTGTGCCCTCCACCTCCACAGGAAGCCCGCCGCTCACATCCTGCGGGCGCGGCAGGGGAGGCGAGCGCCGGGTCCCTGAGTGCGGCGGCGAGAGGCAGGCCCATGCGGATGGCGCGGGCACACACTCATAGGGCATGAGCAGCTGGCCACGCTGGCTGCCTGCCCACCTGCGATGGTTTGCCCCCTGCTGCCCCCGGCACGCAGGCGTGCTGCCCCAGGGCCCACCTGATCTAAAGAGTCGCTGAGGGAGTGCGCCGGGTCAGTGGAGACGACCAGCGTGGTGTGGCCCGCGCCCGCCAGCGCCGTCGCCAGGCTGGCGCTGCAGCTGGTCTTGCCCACGCCGCCCTTGCCTCCCAGCATGAAGTACTTTCTTCCCGTGCCCGCCGCCAGCTCGGGCAGCACCTCCCGCCACAGGATGCCGCCAAAGTACTGGAGGGCGGGCACGCCGCGCACCTGCACGCCACGCACAGGCGCGCTGCATCCTCACAGGCCTCACCACACCGACGCATGAGCTACTGCAGCTGCCACCACGCACATGCCCAGCTGAAACAAACCCAACACGACACAGCCAGCCGCGGGTCCAGACAGTGGGCTGGCGGGTAGGCGCGGGTGCCCCGGCGCACACCACCCCAGAATCCAGGACAGAAAGAAGGAAAGGAAGAGAAAGAAGGAAAGAAAGGGAAAGAAGGAAAGAAGGAAAGCGCGGCGCACCTCCAGGTCGAGGTACGGCGCCCGCAGGTGGCGCAGGTCCCGCAGCTCGGCGTCACCGTCGATCAGCGCCAGCGCCTTCTCCTGGTCCCGCACCTTCATCTCCAGGTACCTGCGTGGTGTGTGGTGTGTGTATGTGTGTGTGTGTGTGTGTGTGTGTGTGTGTGTGCGCGCGCGCGCGCGCGGGTGCGTGTGCGCGTGCAGTGTGTGTGTGAGCGTGTGTGCGTGTGTGTGCAAGCGTGTGTGCGGTGGTGGTGAAGGCGCAGCAGGCCAGGACGGCCAGGCTTGCGCTGGTGAGGTGCAGGCGCAGCCCCGCCACCGCCAGCTCAGCGCCGCCAGCTTGGCTCACTTGGCGCCCATGCCCTCCCCGATCACTTGGTTGACGACTATCCGCTTGCAGGGGATGCCCTCCTTGCGCAGCGCCCGGATCAGCCGCCCGCTCTCGTTCACCCCCAGCACTGCGGCAGGCATGGGGCAGGGCGGGGCATGGGGCAGGGCAGGCGGGCGGGGCGAGCACTGGTGTGGATGCAGGGGAAGCAGCGGCCGGCGAAGCGATGCGAGTGGATGGCACCGAGGGCGCACCTGTTGGGATGGTGGCGATGATGAACTGCGGCGCAGGGAGGAGGCGGCAGGCAGGTTGAGGAGGCGCAGGGAGGAGGCGGCTGGCTGGGCGGCACACAACCAAAGGAAAGCATGGGAGCCGCAGCAGCTCCCTGCATGGCACAGCGAGCGGGACAGCGGGACCATCCACCTCTGTGGCCTGCTGGTCCCGGAACAGGTCCTTCACCAGCCGGATGCTGGCCTGCAGCTGCTCCAGCTTGTCCACAGCTTCCTCCTGGCTGCCGCCCGCCCCAAACAGCCCCCGGACCGCCTGCGCATCGCATCGCACCAAGCAAGCAGGGAGGGGCGTCGGGGCCGCTGCATTGCCGCCGTGCCAGGCTGCTTGTTTGACATTTGAATTAATTATTACACCCGGCTACTGCCCTGATGCAGCACCGTCCTGTGTGGTCCTCGCACCCCAGCCACCATCCCTTCACCAACCCCCGTCCGATCCCCACACCACACCCACAGACACCAGCGCTCCCACCCCCCGGAGCACCTGCGACGCGCTGCCCAGCCTCTTGCGCAGGCGCACGATGCGTGCCAGCGAGGCCTCAACAAAGTCTGGCACCGTCAGCAGGCGCAGCGTGTGGCCGGTGGGGGCGGTGTCAAACACGATGCGGGAGAAGCGGGCGTACTCCTCACCCTGCACAAATTGCAGCACCTGCGGCAGGCAGTCGCCCGGGGGTGGGGTGGGGGGCACATGTGGAGAGTGGGTGGGGTGGGTTGGCAGGGCAGGCAATCAAGCGGTCCAGGGGCGTGAGATGAAAGAAATAACGCTGACGGTGCATGATCCAGGCAGCCGTCGAAGCAGCAGCCACCGGACCATCACCACACCCGCAGCCAGAGGAATGCGCCAGGGGTCCTAGCCAGGTGCAGCTCCCCTTGGAGACCGCCGCCCCACCCCACACCACACCACACCACACCACAACGCTCCACAGCCCCCCCACACACACGGGTCCTAGCCGGGCGCGGCCCACCTTGGAGATGGCCACCGCCTCGTCAAACCCGGGTGGCGGCGAGTCCAGCAGCTCGCCCAGCTTCAGGTCTGCCAGCTGCTCCACCACGCCCCCCAGCCCAAACCCGCCCATGAAGCTCTCCGCCTCCTTGCGGCCCTGGCCTGCGGCAGGGGGACGCGGGGGCGGGTGGTGGTGTGAGGAACAGACATGAGAAATGCCTGGCAGACATGTATACGAGCAAGACCAGCCGCAGCCCCCGGCTCCTTCCCTCCCTGTGACCCCGCCGTGTACCCCCCTATTTGCACCGCCCCTGAGCCCATATACCGCGACCCATGTACCGCTGGCCTGCTGTACCGCACCATGTACCGTCCCACCCCACCTGCCGACCACGCCTTGAACTTCTCCTTCTCCCGCTCGGTGTCAATCTCCATGCCCCACAGCGGCAGCGCCGTGCCCTCCACCAGCACCGGCAGGCCGCCGGAGATGTCCTGCAGGCGGTGGTTGTGGCGGGGACGGGCAGCGCGGCGTGGGGTGTGAGGCGCTCGGCGGGGCGATGGGCAGAGCTGGGGATGGGCAGGGCGGGGAAGCCGGCGCCCGGGCGCTGGCAGCACATCAACAGGCGACGGGCGCGGCGGCTCAGCCGGCGCCTGCTGCTGCCGCTGCTCCCGCGCCCTCCCTGCAGTGACCCACCTGTGCCAGCGAGTCCCCCAGGGAGTGTGCCGGGTCGGTGGAGACGACCAGCGTGGTGTGGCCCTCCTGGGCAAACCGCACCGCCAGGCTGGCAGCCAGGCTGGTCTTGCCCACGCCGCCCTTTCCAGACACCATGATGTATTTTCTTTCCGTGCCCGCGCACAGCTCCTCAAACGCGCCAGCACCCACAGCCGTGTCGGCGGCTGCAGGGGGCGGCGGCGGAGGCGCGGGGGGAGCGGCCAGACGGGCAGGTGCGAGTTTTACCGCGGCGGCGGCCCGGGGGCCGGCTGTGGCCAGCACCCACCACATGCATGGGTGCTGCTTGGGGCCGTTGCTGGTGAGGCGCAGGGCTGGGAAGCCCTGGTGCCCAACCTCCCTGCAGATGTGCAACCAGCTTGCCTGCTGCGGCTGCGGCCCGGACGACGCGAGCGGTGGCGGCGGCGCGGCGTGCCGGTAGCTCGGCTGTCTCGTGGCGCCGGGCAGCCTGCAATCGGCGATCGCATAGTGGGTGCGGGGCGAGTGCCAGTGGACAGGCGGGATTGCTTGCCAGTCTCGCACCTTGAGTCCACAGTGGCTGGGCTGTGGCCGCGGCAATGCTGCCATCGGACGCTGCGATGCCACCACATGGCTAGGGTGCCCCAGAGAGGCCGTACAGGTGACCATGGTGGAGCCACCCACCGCTCCCCGCCAGGCTCCTCTGTAGCAGGACTTGATCTCTAAGACGGCGTTGCAGGTAGCACCAGGAGGTTGAAGAGTTCAATAATCGATCGGGCCCAATCCTCTGACATCAGCGGTCGCTGCTGACGGGGCGGCGGTACCCGGCAGCGATAGGCTGTGGCTGGGTGGAGCAACAACTGAAATGCACAGCTGCGACCCACGTTGTTATGTGCAAGATAGATCGCGGCAGCAGGCCGCGGCACCTGTGGCTGATGCCCCCAATCCTGTTGACAGGTCCGCCCAACCGCCGCCCGCTCCCCCCCCAAACTGCTGCCGCTAATACAGGTTCAGCGCACTTGCCTCCCAAGCAGTTTGGAGGGAGAGTTTGGCTACATTTTAAATGGATTGTGGCCGCATTCACGGCGCTCAACCCGCTGGGGAACAACATTTCATTTTGTGCTGCAGCTGTAAACGGACCTGCAGCTTCGCTGTTGCCGCCACCACCGCCGACCCCCATGGGGGTCCCCGTGTGGTTGGGGTGTGCACTAGCCCACCTTTCATATTCTAAACATGTTGTAAATGGCATGCGCACCCTTCTTGGCAAGGGGGCCGCGTTAGCCAGCTGCGAGGAGTTTTGGACCTGTACTGCGGCCCGCAGGGACGCTCGCTGCGCGCTCCCCGTGCCGGCCTGTTTCTTCTGTCGCGATTCAGCTTCTACGCCTAGCCCTGCCACCCGTGCTCTCCCCTTTTTCAAGCGCCACCTGCGCGTTTGTCTCCACTCTTTGAAACCAAGTCGGTCGTCGCAGGTTGGGCATCGCTTGAGAGATTGGACAGTGGGCAGCGACAGGCCGGCGTGAAGCACCAACAGCGCCGCAGGAGCAACCGCGTCACCCGCCTGTAGCCAACGAGCACGCCAGGTAGAGCTGCGGCAAACACACGCTGGCACAGCCATGAATGCCGGCAAGCAGCCTGCGTGACGCGGGCCGGCACCTGCAGGTGCTCCCGCCCGCTCGCGCCCGCCCCGCGCTGCAGCTTGTGACGTTGCCGCCCGCTCTCCCCTCTACTGTGCCCTGCCCGCCTTGCTGCGCAGCGCCCCGGCAGGTTGCGGCTGCCAGGGCGATGGCGGCCCGCGGCTACACGCCGGCAGCATCGCCCACGGCAGGCCGCGCAGACGGCCACCTGCACCGCCTGCACCACCACGCCCGCCTGGCCGGGCTGTTTTTGGCCATTACGGGCTGCTTCCTGGTGAGGCCGGCCAGCGCTACTGCACGCTGGGCAGCTGCCTGACGCCTTTGCAGCCCAGCTGCTAGCCGCCTGGCATCCGCCTGCCCCCAGCTCCTTCCCGCGCCCGCCACCACCACCCGCGCCGCGGCCCCTCCTGCCCGCAGGTTTACTCGCTGATCCAGGAGCGGCTGATGACGCTGGGGTTCGGCCCCGAGCGCGAGCGCTTCCGCCACAGCCTCTTCATCATCCTGGTCAACCGCCTGGTGGCGTGCGCGGTGGCGGCGGCCGCGCTGGGCCTTGCGGGCAAGTCGCTGCAGCCGGGGGCGCCGCTGGCGATCTTCTCCATCCCCTCGGTGGCAAATGTGCTGGGGTCGGCCTCCCAGTATGAGGCGCTCAAGTACGTCAGCTTCCCGCTCCAGGCGCTGGCCAAGTGCGCCAAGACGGTGAGCGGCCGCGCGGGAAGGCGGCGGTACGCCCACGGGACGCGGGCGCCGCCGGCACAGCAGGCCGATTGTTGCTGTGGCCGAACAAGAGACAGGTGTTGCATTGGTTGCTGGCTGCTGAGCCGCCGTGGCAGGCATGCGGCGAGGCGGCTGCTGCCTGCCGCGCCATGCTGCCGTTTCCGAGCTCACTTCGCTGGTGGCGCCGCCTGCCCCCTGGCGCCCCTGCGCAGGTGCCGGTGATGGCCTGGGGGCTGCTGCTGGGCAGGCGCAAGTACGACGCTATAGACTACTTCTGTGCTGGCACCGTCACCTTTGGCTGCGCGCTCTTTGTGCTGACCGGCAGCATCGCGGCGCCGCAGCAGCTGCGCGCGGCCCACGCCGTGGCGGCGCTGTCTGCGACCGAGGCGGCGGGCGTGGGCGCCGGCGAGGCTCGGCCCTTTGCCTCGGCTCTGCACGGCGCCGCCGAGGGCGGCGTGGGCAGCTGGCTGGCCTACGGGCTGCTGCTGCTGGGCGCCTTCCTGCTGTTTGACGGCCTCACCTCCACCACCCAGGACCGCCTGTTTGCGCAGTACGAGATGCACAGCTGCAACCAGCTGCTGTGGGTCAGCGTCTGGTCGGCGGCGGTCAGGTGGGCGCCTGGCGCTGGGCCCCGCATGCCCGGCGCCGGCCGCCTCTGCCTGGCATGCAGCAGTCGCCGGCAGGCTGCAGCGAGGGCTGCTGGCGCTGCCCGCAGCGGCCTCGCCTGCTGCCCTCTTCCCCGTGTCCGTCACTCACTCCCCGCCTCCCCCTGCCCCCTCCCCGCAGCTTTGCGCTGCTGGTGGCGGGCCGGCAGCTGGTGCCGGCGCTGGAGTTTGTGGCGCGGCACCCCTCGGCGCTGCTGTACATCCTGGGGCTGTCGCTGGTGTCCACCGCGGTACAGCTCTTCATCTTCTACACCATCCAGCAGTACGGCGCACTCCACTTTGCCCTCATCATGACCATCCGCCAGTTCCTGTCCATTGTCCTCTCCTGCCTCGTCTTCTCACATGACCTCTCCGCCAGCCAGTGGTGGGTTGGGTGGCCGCCCTGCCGCCGCGGGTGCCTGCCGCTGTGGGTGGCCGCCCTGCCGCCGCCCTGCCGCCGCTGGTGCCGGCTGCCCTGGCGCTGCCAGGAGGCAGCCAGAGCGCCGGTGCCAGGCAGGCAGGCTGGCAGGGCGGCGTGTGCGTGCTTGGCAGCTGCGGCGCCCCACACCCAGCCAGGGCAATGCTTGGAGCCTGGCCCCTATCGTTGCCTGCGCACCGAGCGTCGACAATGTTGATGGTGCAGGCTTGGGACGCTGCTGGTGATTGGGGGGCTGGTGGCGCGGGGCATGCACCGCGGCGGCCTCGCCCGTACCACCTCTGCTTTAGGTGCGGTGTGCTGAGCTGAGCGCGTGGCTGTGGCGGTAGCTGAGTGCAGCATGCCCTGGGCTCTGCCTTGCAACCCTCGGGCGCGTCTGTGCGGTTCTCGGCGCCCCTGGCCCGACGGATGCCTTGTCCGCTGCGCCGCCCGCTCCTGCTGCTGCTGCAGCAGCGGTGCGCGGCAAGCCGAGCAGCATCGGCGCTGCGGCCGCGCGCCTGCTGCCGCTCAACGCCATCCCTGTCGTCGACCAGAGCGGCGGCGGCGACGGCCGGCACGCGGCCGCCGACGCGCTGGCGGCCCACCGGGAGGGCCTGGCGGCGGCGGCGGCAGCGGCGGCCAAGAAGTTTGGAGAGGGTATCCCGGTGGACGTGCAGGCCGGAGCGCTGGTCCCAGGCCTGCCCGACAGCGCCACGGTGGCGCTGCGCCGCGGCTCGCCCATGGCCTCGGCCGGCGGCGGCGGCGGCGCCAGCCTGGCGCCGCGCCGCAAGGCGGCCGAGGCCGTGTGATGGCGGCACGTGCGGCGGTGGCGCCCCGGCCTCCTCCCAGCTGTTGCCGTTGTGTGTTGCGTTGCTTCAGGCCACACTGCACAGCCTGGCGCCCAGCTGGCGCTGCCGCTCTGTATGCATCTCCCTCCTCTTCTCTCTGTCTCTCTTCCACCTTCCGCCGCCTTTCCTGTTGTCTTCGCTACCCTTCCCTCACCGCTGTGACTGCCGGCAGCCAGAATTTTCCTCCCCTCTCCCGTGAGCCCACAATTGCACTTTTTCCCCGCCTGCACCGCTGCCCGTGACCTTGTGACGCATGCTCTCTGGCCCTCGCGCCTCCTTCCTCCCCCCTCTTCGCTCCTGCTCTCTCTTGCTGGACCACATTTCGCCATCCTGCAACAATGCTACTGCTGGCACTGCTGATGGGGGGACTCCGGAGCGGTGAGAGCGGCGGCGGGCACGTCAGGACGGGCATGGGGGACATGCGGGCGGAGGCTGGCATCGAGTGATGTGTGTGATGTATGTTGCAGCATGCCAGTGCCCTTCCAAAGGATATTCACCCGCAATCGGCTGTTCCTGCAGCAGTGTTTCTGGCCCTCGTGGCAGCTTTGGCGATGGGCGGGCGATGAGGACTGCTGTCGCGTCCAAATTTCGCCAATCAGCTGGCGATGGCACATTGAGGATTGGCGAAATGCGGGGGAGCCACCCTTGCGCCTGGCACAGCGCAGCGGCCACATGCGGCGCCGCTGTTGCTTTGTCGGCACTTGCCTCCCTTTTGGGGGACTGGGGGCGAAGCCCCCAGCAAGCTGGCGCTTGTTTAACACTATGGAATGAAGTTCCTGAGGAAAATTGGCCATTTCTCCTCAAAATATTGGCGATGTCAGTCATGGGGGCTGGCGACGCGCTGGCGATGTCGCCCCGCCGCCTGCCCTCATTTAGCCAGCTCTGGCTGGCGATGGCCTTCGGCCAATCGCCAGCCAGAGCCGTTTTTTGGCCCGATTTCGCCAGCATTTGGCGATTTCGCCAGCTTTCAGAAACACTGTCCTGCAGAACGCGGTCGCCCTGCTGGCAAGGCCGACATCGCCAACTCCCTCTGATTCTTCTGATCCCGCGTTCTAGCAACAACCCATTGGCGTGCGGTCCTAGGGAGCAGCTTTGCGGCGGCAGCCGTATTGCCGTGTATGAGGCCGCGACAAGGAGGCCGCTGAGCGGAGCCATGCGACCAGCCCCCGCTCTGGTGTGGGCCGCGGCGCTGCTGGCAACTCTGGGTGAGCCGGGTGGCTGCAGGGGACGGCCAGGCGCGCCATCCTGGTTGGGGGGGACGGACATGTGGGGGATGTTCTTCCTGCAGGCGCAGCTGCGGGCGAACCTGCACTGATGCGATGCCTGGACGCACTGCAATTTGCGTTGCAGGAGCCGCGGCGCCCGCAGCAGCCCAGTTAGGGACGGCGCGGTTTGTTGGAGCGGCGGCGGCGGCGGCCAGCAACAAACGGCCGCCCCCCCGCCCCAAGCCCAGGCCCAAGCCCCCCTTGCCGCCGCCGAAACCCCCTGCACCGCCAGCGCCACCCCCAAGTCCGCCCAAGCCTCCCTCCCCGCTACCCGCCGCCGCGGCCGCCCCTCCCGCCCCGGCCACGGCCACCGCAGCGAGCGCCGCCGCCCAAGAAGCCGCCGCCCAGGAAGCCGCCGCCGCCGCGGCGCGGCGGCGCCGCCGCCGTGTCTGGCGCCGGCGCGGTGGGCGCGGGCCGGCCGCTGTCGCCGCCGCGGCCGCGCCGGCCGCCCGCGCGGCCGCGGCCCACACCCCGCGTGCAACCCATCCAGCTCCCCAAGCCGGTCACGCTGCCGGGGGGCAACACGCGGCCGTGGAGCGGCGGCAGGCTGCTGCCCGCGGACCGGGCCCTGGACTGGACGCACGCCGGCTACAGGGAGGGCCGGCTGGCCATTCCCACCCCACCCATCCGATACAACGTGCGGGCCTTTGGGGCCAAGGGCGACGGCGCCAGCGACGACACCGAGGCGATACAGGCGGCGGTACGCGTCGCCAACCGCGCGCCGGGCGTCATCTTCTTCCCCCCCGGCACCTACATCCTCACACGGCCCATCTCGCTGTACCGCGGCCGTACCGTGCTGCGGGGCGCCGGGGTGGGCACCAGCTTCCTTTGGGCTTGGCGCTGCCGTCCTGTGCTGTGCTGTGCTGTGCTATGCTGTGCCGCGCCGTGCCGCGCTCGTGCTGTGGTGCGCTGTGCTGAGCTGTGTGTCACGCCGTGCTCATGCTGTGCCCATGCCCTGTTCATGCTGTGCTCATGCTGCGCGGCGCCGTGCTGTGCCTTGCTGTGCCGTGCTCACGCCGCGCTGTGCCGCGCCGCGCGCCGCCTGCAGCCCGGCCAGTCCATCGTCCACATCCCGCTCTCCCTCTCCGAGGTGTACCAGGGCACCTGGACCAGCGACGCCTCTGGTGCGCGCTGGCGTGTGTGTGTGTGTGTGTGTGTGTGTGTGTGTGTGCAGCCGCTTGCTGCAGCCTCGACGCGGCGCGCCGCCGCGCAGCTGCCTGAGAGGGACACTGCCCGGGCTGGCGGCTGCACAAGGAAAAGTGGGGGCAGGGCAGCAACACACGCGCCACCTACGGCAGGGGTGTGCAAGCAGTGGCAGCGGCTGCAGCCTGCCCCTGCCGCCCTCCTGTCACCCCCCGCCGCTTCCCACCCCCTGCCGCCACCCCCTGCCGCCCCCCACCCTGCAGGCAATGTCAAGTCCGCCTGGAGCTCCGGGGGCGCCTTCATCACCTTTGCTGGGCGCCGCCAGCGAAGCGACAACGCCCGCACCCTGCTGGCGACAATCACGGGGCCCGTGGCGCACGGCAGCAACCGCATCCCGGTGAGGGCTGAGCCGGCGCTGCTGGGCTGGCGCTGAGCTGGTATGCTGAGCTGGCACGGGCCAGGCTGCCCTGCAGCTGCGCCGCTGCCGATGGCGGCTGCTTGGAAGCTGCCGGCTGCAATGTACGGGGCCAGCCAGTGGCTGCAGCTTCTGCCGGGGCTTGGTACCAGCAGGCGCAGCGTGGCAGCAGGCGCCAGGCAGGCGTCAGCATATCTGACCCGCCGCCGCCGGTCGCCGCCCGCCGGCCGCCTGCCCGCAGGTCGGCAGCGTGGCGCGCCTGCGTGTGGGGCAGCGCATCCGCATCTTTGTCAACGACGCCTCCACCCTGAGTGAGTGAGGGGTGGGGGGTTGGAGGACTGCCGCAGCTTGGCTTGGCTTGGCTTGACTCGACGTGACTCGACGTGACTCGAGTTGCTGGGGCGCTGCTGAGGCGAGGCCCGAAGCGGTTCCCCGGGCTCTTAGACGCGTGACCTGCGTCCAGGCGGGTAGCGCATGACAGCATGGTGGAGCGACACTCTCTCACCCCGCTCCCCTGGCCCTGTGCCGCCCCCCACCCCACCCCCACCCCGCCGCAGGCTCCCGCCGCCGCCTGCTGCAACAGCAGCCGGCGCAGCAGCCGGCGCGCAACGCGACGGCGGCCGGCGCGGCCGGCGCGGCCGAGCGCCCGCCCAACGCGGTTCGCATGCTTGCGGGCGCCATGCCTGCCGCCATGCTGGCTGACCCTGTGGTGCAGCTGGCCATGCTGGGGCAGGCCCAGCTCGGCGAGGATGACGAGGTGCTTACGCCCGAGCAGGCGGCGGCGGTGGAGGCGGGGTGGGCTGCGGCGGCGCGCTCCGGCGGCGGCGGCACGGACGTGGAGGAGGGGGACGGCGAGTTTCGGTGGGAGGAGGCGTGGCCGGCCAGTCAGGACGCCGCGTCGGAGGCCTGGGACGGCGGCGACGAGGCAGGGGTGGAAGAGGAGGAGGAGCCGGGAGCGGCGGCCTCGCCGCCGCCGCCCTCCTCGTCGGCCAGCCCGCCGCCGGCCCCGGCCCCGGCCCCGCCGCCCGGCCCGCCGCCTCCCGTGGACATTGCGGATGAAGAGGAGGGTGAGGAGGGTGAGGGTGAGGAGGAGGCAAACGCGGCGGCGGCGGCCCAGGGCCAGTCTGCCCTGGCGGCGGCGCTCGCAGCCGCCGGCTACGATCTATCCGACCTCTCCACCGCCGCATTTGAGGCCGGCGCCGCCGCCGCCACCGCTGCCTCTGCTGCCGGCGCCTCTGCTGCCGGCGCGGCTGCCGGCGGCGGAGCCATCGGAGCACAGCACCCCGCCAACCAGGCGCGCGCGGCCGTGGGCGCGCCGGGCGGCGGCCAGGCCGGCGCCAACACGGTGCTTGCGTGGGCGTATGGTGAGGGGCTGTCAGACACAGGCACCGACGAGACAGTCATCGACAAAGATGAGGTGGCCATGACCGCCAGGTGGGCACCCTCTGCCCGGCTTCCCACCTGCCTTTCCTCTCCAAAGCTTCCTTGCTCCCTCTCCAAGCTTCTTTCTGACTTCAAGGAAAGCAAGCGGAACAGGAGGGAAAGGGAAGGGAAGGGAATGGGTGTGGCGGCGCGTGCCAAGCTGGGGCTTGGCTGGCCGGCAGCGCCGGTCCGCGTGCGTGCCCG